TTAAACTATTGTAGCCAAAACGAGGCCAAGTGGAGCATCTTATTCAAAAATAAAGTACCAAGGAATAAAAATTAAAATCGTGTACATTACACCCAAACACCGCAACGCTCGAGTTTCAAACATACGGATAACAAGCTGTACCGAACTTTCTGAGTAAATTGAGGGCGCAATTGCAAACGATGGTGCTGAGCGAATTTTGATTGGCTAAATCTGTGGCAGCCATCTTGGATGGTACACGCACACAGTTCTGCCTATTTCGAACATCAAATGCATTGCGGTTAGCGCTCTAGTATTCTTATTATACCTCTATGGAATTAGATAATCCCAGAAAATGTATACTATGGAACGCCATGCAAATAAGTAATATGGAACGCCAATCGTGCCAAAATCGTATTATTGTTCAGCATTTTAACTGATTAAGACAAAGTTTAGGGACTGGAGCCCAGTCTAACTATTGGGCGGAATGCATAAAACTTTTTGTGGCAGTGGATTGCGCATTAAAACGGACTCTGGTATCTACACAGGAGAAAAGTATGTAGTAAACACTAGAATCGCTCTTATTCTTAAAACTTGACGAAAAACTTGGTTAATGAGATAAAAAGCACTTGATAAGGTATAGATTTTTTCCTTCTTGGTTCAACAATTATCTTAATTACAATATATTACGCTTATTTTGTCAAATCACGATACAAAATTAAGAAGTCAATTGTGCCATAAACGACAATAAAATACATCACAAAACGCTACAAACACCTCGCAGGGGCGAATATGGAATTTTCCAACGGGGGCGGGGGGCACTACGTTCTCAGAGTAGGTGAGTAACACATAACATGGATTTGCATTGAACATTTTAAAATTTAGTGGCAAAACGGAGGGCACGTACCTCCAGTTTTTACCCTACTGGATCCGCCAGGTGGTGGGTGGGGGGCTCCCAGGCCATGTCTCGGGGCCTTCGGCCTCTTCGTTACTACACTGATTATTTATAGTTCCGAATTTACAATTTTCGCAACCCTCCTCCCCTCCAACTGGGAACTACCCTACGTCCCTGTACAAAAGCCACTGCTATCGAATGCCCATCTTCATCATCACTATCATTATTATTATTATTATTATTATTATTATTATTATTATTATTATTATTATTATTATTATTATTATTATTATTATTATTAATATTATTATTATTATTATTATTATTATTATTATTATTATTATGTTTGTTTTTTTTTGTTTTTTTTTTGGCGTTAGGAAAATTAATAGAAGTGTGATAAAGCAAACATAAATGAACATGTATCTTTATTCTTTCTTCAGGGACTTACAAAGGCTGTTTTAAGGACAACTCTACTAGAGCGATGTCATTAGCTTTTAAAAGCAATGAATCTCTCACTATAAATTCCTGTATTGCATATTGCTATGGTCATATGTTTGCTGGTTTACAGTGTGCAGAGCAATGTTTTTGTGGTGACCACACATATTCCAGGTACGGAGCAGTAGCAGACACTGAGTGCAATGCAAACTGTACAGGGAATTCAAGAGAAAAATGTGGTGGTACTTGGAGAAACTCTGTATATACTACTACCGATCTAGGTAATAATTCATGCCCAGCCCTATATATTTTATTTTATAGTAAAATTAATGGTTTAAAAAAACGACGTTAGTTACATAAGTGTTTCCCTAAACAACAAGAGGTTATATGACATAGGTGATTGCAATTTATATTTAAAATAGAAAAAAATGAGTAAAAACAATATTATAACCTATATAAGCTTCATGAAGGTTTCTGACTTCAATTATTTATTTGTATATGGTTAAGGTGTGGATGATCGGCACAAATTGAATATGCTGGGTTTCACTCCAACTCCAGCTGTTAATGATACTGAGAAAACTAATATTCGTGGTTATACGCTGGGAAACGACCAAACAACGAACATCATACTCAGTATTATACTCTTGGTCAATCTGGATCACCTATCGGGAGAACCACTTTGTAATAACTCAAATCTTAACTTTAATGTTACTTGTAAATTCGAAAAGAAAATGAATGCTCAGTCCACTTTCCGTATAGCTGAAATTAGTAGCTACAATGGTGAAGCCCGATTTGGAGTATTTACTGCGTACGCACAGAAAGGTAATCGAAGTGCCAATGCTACAATCATAGTTCACCATGAAAACGGTAAGTCTATTTTGTCAGTGTTTTTATCATTACTAGTTTACTTAGAACCTTAAAATACTATCCAATGCCACCCGGGAATTTGTGTAACGTAGGATAGTTTGGTAACATCTCATGCATTTCCATAATCATCCTTATAGAACGTATTTTGCGCATGCGCTGTTTTCAAGGCTGTGCCAGTCTCAGTGATCAGCAGTTCTGTGCATCGCGAGTGACCTAGTGTCCGATTTTGGTAGAACGACACACTTTTTTCCATTTGTCAGTTTTTGAGATATTTAAGTCTGGGACGTTAGCATTTAAAATGACCCCCAACTTCACATCTAAATCTGGATCGTCTTCAGAATTTAGTAACTTCTTCCTTGTAAATTAGTTAATCTTTCCAAAAGTATGTTTCATTCAGATCAGTTGATCAGTTTTTAGTACTGTATATCTGGTCAAGGACGTTTTGTTTAAATGGTCCTTATATCCACACCCAACTCCTGATCGTCACCAAAATGTACTCATTTCTTCATTGGACCCTGCCAATAATTCTGTAAAGTTTCATTTAGATCCAGGGGTGAGTTTTTGAGATATTTAGGTCTGGAACCTTAGTACTTTAAATGCCTTCAAATTCACGCCCGAATCTGGATCGTCATTAGCATTAAATAATTTCTTCCTTGTAACTTGGTTAAACTATCCAGAAAGTTTCATTCGGAATAATAATAATAATTATTATTATTATTATTATTATCATTATTATTATTGATAATATTAGATAATATATATGTATATATCTATCTATCTACTGTCTCTTATACACATCT